TTTCATCGAGTACTTAGGTGTATTAAATTAATAACATTTCAGACATTGTTATAAATATTTTTATCCATTTCGATTTTAAAAATGTTCGAACCGTTTTAAATTCGAATTTGTTATTTCGTATTCGTATTGTATGCGTTTTAGTAGGGTATGCCATGAGAATGGACACTAAGAAGGGATTTTTCTAAATTCTCCCGCGGGGGGAGAGGGAGAGGATTAAGCTTAACCGGAAGAATGGCTTCTACTGTACTATTTTAGATGCGATTTTTTGTTTTCAACTACGTTTAGTCTTCATCGAGTACTTAGGTGTATTAAATTGATCACATTTCAGACATTGTTTAAATATTTTTATATATTTCAATTTTAAAAATGTTCGAACTGTTTTAAATTCGAATTTGTTATTGCGTATTGGTTCGATTATAGAACGATTGTAAACGTTTCAGAAAATTGATCAAATTGAAAATAGTTCGTTTGATTTTCGGCAATTCTCTTCAGCGGTAGGTGTTATATAACAATTACTATGGTTATTGAAATATTGGATGTAAATGGGGTTTGCTTGCAAAACCTCCGCTGACGAAGTCGCGGGTAACAGCTAGTTATTTCATATAATAAAAGAAGCTAGCGAGCAATTACTTCAATTCGGTATTATATTTATGTAGAAATAGTCAAAATTTAGTGAAACTATGCTACAAATAAATTATTATTTACATAATTTCTATTTAATTCACTAAATATATGATGAAGGGGATTGTGTGTCATATCTCGAGTAAAATTAAAATTATTTTTTTATACAGTAATTTTCAACTGTATTGTGAAAACGAAGTTTTTTGTCATTTTATAATAATTTATAATTTTAATTTATAAAGTTCGAGTTGCTTAAATAGGTCGAAGAGTAATTGTAAAAGCGTTGTTTATATAAAAATCTTTCAATGTTTCCTTTATCAGATATGATCAGTTTTCTTGCCAAATAACCTTGATATAACCGATATAACCAAATAACCGTAGTTTTACTTTAAAAAATATGTAGTCACTTCCCGCTTCAGATATGTGATTGTACTGCAATTTTTAAAAAAAATAGTATAAATTTTTTAAAAGTCCTATAAATTCTCACTGTCGTCTGTCTGTGTTTCTCTCTGTGTCTTTCCTTTATCTCGAGAGCGGTGATAGATAGGTAAAACTCGCGACCAGGTTTGAAATTCTCAGCGGCAGGAGGCGCCGTTTAACTACGATATTGGAGCTTTCGATGCCAACTGGAAGTCACGTCATTTCAATTTGTATATTTTCTTTCGAAAGATACTCGATAGATCACTGAGACGACTCCATGGCTAAAGGAAACATGATGTACTGGGGCTAGCCACTACTAATTTGAGGTGGAGAACATATATTTTAAATTAAGTGAATTAAAAGTATGACTAAAATTTGCAGCCAGGCATTGTCACAATGTCACAATAAATAATTGCTCGTTCCTTTTTCAAACCTATAACTTTTTGGCTACCCTCGCCCCATTATATGAATCACGAGTAGATTTATAACTTAACCCAACCGATAGGAGTTTACTGATATGTTTTTATGATAGTTCTGTATAATTGACAAAATGTTTTTAAAAAAATCCATTAAAATATTTGATTTATTGTGCTTTTATTCGGCTCTCCCATCTTGTATTACTTACAGATTTCAATATTAACTAATGATATTACGATTTAGTATGGCGGTACTTGCGAATCTTTGTCCCAGATGGTGACTCCGCCCTGGCGACCAACATCTCAACTAGTACCTGTATCTCCTCGAAACAAATTGACTCGGCCGTCTAGCCTACATTAAACAGACTGGTGTTATCGACTTAGTCTTTTTCGTTATATACGATTTATCACACGAGCTGGAAATAGAAAAGGTCATGTAACCGCTTCGAACTCACTAACCATTTCTGTACTTACCCATTTGGGAAATCTTTTCTGAACCAATTATCAACCCAATACACGTGAGTTAGATCGTATCAATTGACTGGCGCCCTGCTAACCGAAAAATACCTTTTAAATTAAACACTAATTTAAACTTTGTTTGCTAAGTTGCTAACATTTTCTGTTAGAATTTTACTTATGTGCACCATCACGGCTGTGGTCGTGACAGTTCAAGATCCTGATGGACTCCTCCTGGAGGGAGCTGCCGGCAGGCCGCCGATTGTTTAAATTAATGTTACTATTTACTGATTCACGGCAGTTCTTGAACACAGGTATCAATAACTAGTGACATTAAACAATCGGCGGCTCCGCTTCAGGAGGAGTCCGTCAGAAGCATGAACAGTCATGACCGGAAGTGTTGCCATTACGGATATATAAAGAAAAAGAGTAAAATTTTAAAATTTTGCCTATTAAAACTTTGTTATAATCTTAACAGCATTGAAATAACGAAACGGACTGAGTCACTAACACGTATCTGTTTAATGTAGGTTAGTTGGCCGAGTCAATTTTTTTCGAGGGAATACAAGTATTAGTTGAGATGTTGGAGGCCAGGTCGGGCGCCACTATCTCGGACAAAGATTCACAAGTACCAGTATGGCCCATCTATTAGGGATGCAGATAAAGATGTGTACAGTTCTTGTACAATGTTAAAAAATCATTTACAACTAAATTTAATGAATGACGTGCACAAGGTACAAAAAAAGCTCTAGAATTTACATTCCTTAATTTTAAAATTTATTTATCCGTTGTCATAAAAATGTATCTTTCCACTTCTTTCCCAAGACAACAAATATTCAAGTACAAAGTAACCAGTTTCGACTTATTTCTACTTCAGAAGTAGTTAAATAATTAAGAGCTTGGGGAATTAGGGACATAAATAAAACCCTGCTGAAAGAGCCGGAATTTTACTTCAACGAAAGCTTAACCGAACCAATCTCTAGCCGAGTACAGTGGGGATTGATTTCTTCGTAATATTACGTGTAATAAAGACAGAAATTTTTCCAGTTCAATGAGAGTGACCAAAAAGATGTGAATTTTGGAAAGTTTCATGGACACCTGGTCCTAAAACGAATCAGTTAGAAAACACAATGACAGACAATCTATTAAGTTTAACATATGTAGATTTTTACAGTATGCTGAGAAACGTTTAAAATTTACAACTCTGTTGTGTCTTTTGAGGTATACTACTGATGCGACAAAAGAAGTAATTGACATTGACCAGTATCGGCACCCTCGGGATTTGGCAGCCCGCGTGCATACACCCATTGCACACCTACCAGGATCCTCTCTGATTCCATCCATTAGCCACACGTAGCTATTTGACTAAATGGATTGTTTTAAGATTTAAAAAGTAAAGAATATTTTATGTTCGTTTCTTTACAAAGCTATATTTAATTATAACTTTTTTTTGCAAGTATATTCATACAATTGAATAATATTTTGTATCAGGTATGGATATTCACCACACATTTCACCGAGTAAGTTTTTATAATTTAATTTTTAATTTTAACCCATATAACATGGCTAGCGATTCGGAATGTAATTGCGATATTGAAAATTTATTTTAAAAAGCTTTGGCTCGAAACCATATAATGAAAAAGAAAACTTTATTAAAAGAGAAAGACCAATGCCTAAATTAAATATAAATTAACAGAAAATTTGTTCGACATTTCATGATAAAATTTATGAAGACATAAAATAGCATTGTGGATGCATAAAAATGTAAAAGTTGTTTTGTTGGCCTTGCCTACTATTTTTAAATGAAATTAGTGTGTGGGATAAAAACGGCTTTCGCGATTTAAACAATTTGAATAAAGCTGGCAAAAGACACGAAAATGGTACATGTCACACCGATTCTTTTGTAAAATTGAAACAATTTGGAAATCAAAGCGGAATAGAATTTAACATTAGTGTACTGTACAATGTAAAATAAATACTGAAAATTATAACAAAATAGTTACGGCTAATAGATATATCATATCTAAATTAATAGATGTTATATGTTTTTTATCAAACAAAAATTGGCATTTAGAGGGCATAGAAAATTTATTGAATCTAATAACAGAGGTAATTATATTGAACTTGTTTATTTGTTAAGTTCTTCAGATAATCCATTTAAAATACATTTAGAGAAGTTTACTATTTTTACTGGCTTATCGAACGAACGAATACGAATGGACCCTGACGCGCAATTAACTTATTGCCCCTGTAAGTCGGCTTCTTACAGAAACAAGCTTCCCTATTGTCAAATGCCAGGGCACGCCACTATTAAAATCGAAGC